GCATGTATTTATTTACGTCTGCATGAGAAAGAGTTTAAGTTAGTAGCATCCCGCAAGTTAGTATGAGTATTTTCGAAAATAAAGTTTAAGAGTTTTTCGAAAATAAAAAGTAAAAATTTTACTCTGATTTTATAAATTGTAGAAATAATTAGGCGGGGTATTACAGGAATTCTCAGTTAATGCAGGTGACAAACGAAAAAAAATACCTTCTCGCACCTGTGACATTACTATTGTCCTCAATGGGGCTCAAATAAATTTTCCGACCATAATTCTGTCAATATTATCTTGCATTGCATCCTATGAAAGAACTCCACACAAAATATTATTATTCAATCTCTTGTAAATTAAGTACATAAAAACATATATTAAACATATAAACTACTGCTATTTGTCAAACCTTGAAAGGCTCATTATCAATTTTGAAATATATTATTTCATACAATTTTCAAGAAAAACAAATATTTTTTTTGTACATATTTCTAAAAATGAAATAATAGCCTTTTTTTAATCATATAACAAATATAACTCATTTTACTTCAAATGCAATGCAATTTACTTTTAGAGTATCACAAGAATTTCAGAACATTTTGCCCACAAAGAAATAAACAAGATAAAATTGATCTTTAAGGCTTTAAGCTCCACAAAGACTGGAAATTCTATTAAAAGAAAGGCCCACAAGAAAAAAAAATCCAATTGAATTAATAAATTTACTACAAACAGGAAATTGAAAACCAAGTCGACAGTATTGCCGAAAATTTAAGGAAAATAATCAGAACATAAAATTAATAGCGAGCAACCACAAAAATGTTTTATTCTATTTAATTTCTGCACTATTCACTTCGTCACTTTGAAAAAGGTAAGGTGTATGACAATATTGGTTTTCTACGTATCTATATTTTATTTTTTAGGTCAACAGACAATTTGCTGGCTTGTGACACCAAAAGCTTCATTACTTGACGTATATTTGTAACCTTCAAAAATAGCATTTTGCCAAATTAGCCATCTTTTACTGATTATAAACAAATAACATCTTATATTGCACTTTCGAGATACCTAAACAATACACATGCATTGGTTCTATACCTCTCTGACGAAGTTAAAATTGAACCATGTAGCCATATGGGATTTATAACAACAAATGCATCTCTTATGATATATTAATATTAAATTACAAACATACTCACTGTGAACTTTTACGGTAACAACTTGACCAACTTGTCCTTTTAGCTTTTCCCAGTTGCTTCACTTTTCACTACATCAAGACTTTCGCCTAATTCGACTCAAGAAAATTCATTAAACATTATTTTTCCATTTTTCTTTGTGTTGATTGTTTTCACCAGTTCATCAGCGTCATCTATTCCAAGATAACAAAGAGATAACATGTCCCAATTGCAATTCCATGATAGAATCAGTAAGACTACAAATTAGGGATCTTATTCTACGAATTTGACAAACTCAAGAAGTTTTACAGAAGAGTGAACTAAAGTTGATAACATTAAGTTTGTAGTACACAAAAAAAGTGATAGGCCGATTTGTGTGGTTTGACTTCCTCATGTTATTTATGCAATCTCAGAATAAAAAAGAACATTTCTTTTACTTATGAAGATCTAGAAACATCCAGACTTCTATATTCTGTTAATAGGAAACGGAAATTATACCTGAAACATAAGCATCACAATTGAACGGGCAGATATGAAGTCCATGATTGCAGTTTATCCTCAATCCCACAGTGCTGTACATCCAGGATTCTCTTCACGGCATTGAGAAAAATTCCCAGCTGCAGGGATAGAAGAAATTAACAACTCACACTACTGAATTGAGCAAAGTATCCATCAATTCACCAATTTGAGCAAAAAAAAACAATTCTAAACCAAATAAGTTTGAGTTCAGAGTATAATAACAAAAAAAATACAGCAAAATTAAATGGAAAACAACAAAATTGTCCTCATCGTACTCCCTACAACCTTCATTTTCATTCTCACCCTCCCCTTTGTCTACTTCTTCTTCTCACTTTTAGCCTGTCGTGCCCTTAATATGTATCTACAATCTCCCGGAAGAATTTCCTCTTAGTGTGTGCGTAGATGTCCATGGCCAACTTCTCGGATGCGAATTTTTGGATCTTGTATTCTCTTGTCTCATCCATCTTTGAACCAGAGTGAATTAGGTTAGGAGGAGGTAGCCATAATCACAAATCACAACTCGAAAAAGTGGTCGAGGTAGATGGTGAGTTATTAAATGAAAATGCCCCCAAAATCAATGAATCTAATGCGAGATCCAAGTACGAATCTTGCGTACCTGGTGGTCGGCGAATCTCTGCGGCTGTAGATCGCTATCGATTTGACGGTAGTGGAGTTGTTTGCGGTTTATTCGAGCTCAGGATTTTGGGGCTGCTGTCACACAAATGCTGTTGTTGTCAATGTCGACGCAGTAGAGGCGTTTTCTATTGTAGTTGAGGCATTTTCAGGGAAGTGGAATAGTTGAGAACGGTGGTTGGCTGTAGGGGGAGGATATTGAGGTCAGGCTGGGTTGGAGGCGAAGTGAAGATGAATCTGAGGAGAGAGGAGAGATCACGTTGGTTTGGGGTTTGAGATTGGCATTTTCAAGTACGAATCTTACTTCAATCGCTTTCACCTTGTTGCGTGTGCGGGTTTTCCGAGAAAGTGACTCATATCATATAATAAATAGCAATAATATCCTAAAAAAGACAGTGAAACCAAGAGTAATTTGATAATTGACATTGACAACAATGGCAAAATCGTAATAAAATCTTACCCGTGTCAATTTTTAAGAGCTAAAAATTGACATGTCTGACAATTCTGCGAAAAGGAAGAAAATATTTGTGTTGATCGGAAATTCTGGTGAATCGTACTAGAACTTGGAAGCCACGACATTGGAAAATATTAGGCTGAAAAAAAAAAAAAACTACATCCAATCCACAAAATGCAAACCCAAATAGCAAAATGAAGTGGGATACGTGTCGCCATTTTAAGCCTACGAAATGGGACACGTGTCAGCCATAGAGACAGGGGCGGACGCAGACCTTTAAAAATAAGGGGGCACAATGTAATTTCATGGTTCTAAAAATCGGCCTAGGTGGCCGTTTCGGCGGCGCTAGGCGTGCTCGAGCGCCTCTAATTTTTACAAATCGACAGAAAAAATCGGTTAGGCGGTGCATAGGCGGGTCTAGGCGCTCCTGGGCGGGCTTGGCGACCAGGCGGTTAGACGGCGCCTAGGTGGGCATAGACGGACCTAGGATTTTTAGTTTATGTTTTATTTTTTTTTAATACTAATTACATTATTTTATTCTCATGTTCTCTTTAAAATATATTAATTTTATTATTAGAACCTAAGGTGTGTCGATTTATTATAAGTTGAGATGTTTTTATTGTGTAGATAGTTAAAATAAATAAATATTGAGGTACTTAATGTTGATTTCTAGGTCTCGACTAGGCGCTGGTTGAGCGTTTAGCGACTTTTAGAACACTGTGTAATTCATAAGAGAACCAAACGTCATAAAAAAACCAAAAAAAAAAAAAAAAAAAAACAACAAATAATAAAACTGAAGGAGTTTATGTAGTAAAAATATAATAATATTATTATTAATAATAAAATAAATAATAAAATAAATGATGTGAGAATCCATTTTTGCATGAGAGTAGAGTATGTGTTCTTTGTAATAGACATGGTCTCATTTGATTATAATATTAAAAAATATTTATGCTATATATATATATATATATATTAGAAGTTGTGGCATAACAGGGGCATGTGCCCCTGCGGGCCCCCGTGTGGGTCCGCCCCTGCATAGAGATGGACTAACTAGTTCATATAAGATATAAGAGAGATAGAGAGATTTGGAAGTCGTTTGGTATTTTGGAACTGTACTTTTAATGCTCTTATTTTTCATGTATAGTTTATATAGAATTTTAGCCTAACCAATACGCGCACCCAACCCTATAAATTCTTCTCTCCAATTCCCTAAATTGAAATCCATCATATACTATGGAGGAGAGATAAGAGGGAGGATATGATTTGAAATGGACGACGAATGCGGAGCTATTGTCAACATGCCGCCAGGATCTGAAAACAGCCTCGAGATCTACGAACTTGCTCGTTTCGCTGTCGCCCACCATAACCACAACCAGGTTTTTTTTTTTTTTTTTTTTAATTTATTTTTCATATTTTTGTTTCTATATATTCTTCATCGTCGTAGAAATTGTGTTTGTTTGTTTCTGCAATTTAATTTAAATTGTCATCAAAATCTTACTCCTTGATGCCTTTTTCCCGTCTACGGATTCCGATCTCTTGCTGTATGCATTTTTTTTTTTTTTTGTTCTTCACAATTTTTGGGTATTTTTTTCGGATTTTGGCCAATCTTGTATTAACTTCCGGCTACCGAATACGAATTGCTGATGTTTTTGCCGGAGTATCGTATTAGAAGAATCTCGTTGGCGTTTCATATTGTTATCCCTAAATTTGGTAACCGAGTCTACACACACTCCTACAGTATGGTTACTCACATGAAGATACGAATTGTTGTTATTGCTGGTGTTGTTTATTGCAGAATGCATTATTGGAATATAAGAAGGTAACGAATGTCAAGACCCAATTGGTGGCCGGGTTGCTCTACTACATAACGCTGGAGGCGGAGGAAGATGGTCGAAACAAGGTATACGAGGCCAAGGTGTGGATCCGGCCTTGGATGAAATTTAAGTCACTTACGGAATTTAAGTATGTTGGTGACGCCTAAGAAATGTTCGCTTCTTGTTGATAATCAGACTAAATAAACCCAGTAAAAGTAGTGTATTTCATTCGGATTCTCCGAAATTTGAGGTGAATCAACTGTGAGAGGTATGGGGATGGGCCTGGTTTCGTCTTCCCTGAATCTGTTCTACTGAGACCTTAAATTCAATAATTTTAGGTTTGTAGGAAAACAATATGATCTCAGCGAGTCTTTCATTTGGACCATTGTGTTAGTCTCTTTGTTTGGTTATGATGCATATGTAGACAGCCGTTTGGAATCAATAGTTCACACTTCACATTATAAGTTATTTACATGCATATAATATTAAATTATATATTATATAATGATATTATATTTTAAATATAGAGTACTATAAAGTATGTTTATGCATATAAAATTGTAAGTTAGACAATGATATTATGTTTAAAATATGAACACTGATTAAAACAAATGGTACATATTGATTTGGTTGCATATGAATCACTATATTAATTGCTAAGTATCATAAATAATTCAATTTTCGTAAATTTGAGAGAACATGAACAATTAACTAGCTGAAAAATATTAAATTTGTAATACCAATTGCTTATACGTTTTTAAGGAATTTTACTATGACATTTATACAATTAAATTATTTGAAAAATAATCGTTTATTTAGTTAAAAAAATATAATATTAATTTTAAAATAAAAAACTCATTTCTCAGCCTCCCTTATGAATTTCCGAACACAATGCGGTGTCAAGGCGGAGGTCCTGTTATATTTATCAACCGGCGGCGGCAACAACGGCGGACTGGAGTCATTGTCACATTTCGTGTCCAACGGTGGCGTATCCATTCTCGGATGCCGATGAATTTTTGGGATTTCGTCGGCTCAATTTCCGACTTGCGCGGGGCAGGCTATGTGAAAAAGACGTAGGTGGTAGCGGGACTGATTTCGGCAGGTCTGGTTTCCAGGTGGTGACCGAGGAGAGTGTACATGGCGGAGGTACCGCCGATATCTAGCAACGGGACCGACTTGGTGTATGGCAGCGAGCGGCGGGAATTTTGATGAGAATTTTCGGAGGCGGCGGGAATGTTGAAGATGAAGTTCGGCGGCGGGGATGTTGAAGATGAAGTTCAGCGGCGGATGTTTAATTTTCTTTTGTTTTTTTTCTTTTATGTTTTTTTGTCGGTACAATTTTTTTCTTTTTCTTTACAACAATGGCGGATGTCGCTTTGTGTGTGTTGAGTGCGTGTGTATAGGGGTAAGCAAAATTGAGCCGAAATCGAAAAACCGAACTGAACCGATGTGTTTGGTGCAGTTCGATGCGGTTTTTTAAGGGTTCTTTTTTTGGTGCAGTTAGAATTTATAAAAACCTCAAAAAGTTCGGTGCGGTTCGAGTTTGTATCCGAAGGGTGCGCTTTTAACCGAACCGCCGAATATGGTAAAATGCAATTTTTGTGTTGTTGGGCCTTAGACTATGCAGAGAGACAAGCTTTTGTTGTTCATGTTTGGGCCTTTGGGTTTGAAGTATTTGGGCCACTTTGCCATTTATAAAGTAATAATAACAATTACCCATTAAAAAATAATTTACAGTAAATAACACTTACAATTCTATGCCTGCAAATGTTTATTTGGTGGATAATTCGCAGCTACCCGAGCTGCCCAATGGGCGTGTTTGCAGGAGCTTTGTGTGATTGAACTCGATGGTATGGGTGCTTAGGATTTCATTGTCGTGTATGTGCCCAAAGGTTGTAAGGTCAAAAAATCTGTGCACTTGAGATTCTTTTCGATGAATTGGGAGAATTGGGAGTGATGAAGATTCGAAAATCCTTTTGGTTCGGATGAAGAGAGGTGGAGAGGTTAGTATAGTCTCAACTTCACTTATTCACTTAAAATTCTTTTTCCTGAATCTTGCCTACAAAACTTCTTTCCTTTTTTTCAATTTGCTCTTTCGTCAGTGTGTGACCAAGAAGGCAAGAACCTTAATTGTGTCTTTAAATTGATTTATTTTGGGTTTTTTTAGTTATTGGAAACCGCACAAACCAAACCGAAAATTTTGGTTCGATTTTTTTCCCATGCTAGGTGCGGTTCGGTTTGGAAAAATATACATTTTTGGTTTTTGGTTTTTTCGGTTCGGTGCGGTTTTTTGCCGAACCACACCGATGTTCACCCCTACGTGTGTAGAGTGTATGTTTCTACTAAATTACTATTAATGAGTGGGGTCCATAAGATGAAGTGAGATGTAATTATTTGTAATTACTAAATTATCCTTAATGAACATTGGATGACTAAATTACCCTTAATGATTTTGACTTAAATTACTAATCTTGACTTAATCATGACCATTTGTTAAATCTAATGATCTACAAATGATATTT